TTGCAGTACTCCAGGAACCTGCCATACACCTTCAGCAGCCGCCCGTTGTTGGGGTAGCGCTCCAGCACCCTGCGGGGAAAGCCGGGATACGGGACATGATCCAAGGGCCACTGGGCTGCGGGGCTGCGAGGCTGCTTGATTGGGTGGGTTTTTGGAACCGGGCAAAGGCAGTGTGGAGAGAGCTGAGGCTGGATGCAGGCTGGTGGCAGGCCGAGGGCAAGGTTGAGGGCCTGGACGGTGTTTTGTTTCCGAGCCCTGAGCCCTGAGGGACGGGTCTGCTGCCCTCTCACTTGCGGTACACCTGGGTAGCACGCGTCTCCGCCTGCAAGGAAGAAGATGGAGAGAGGGTGGGGGCCAGCCCTCAAATACTCTGCACAGGGCCATTTCCAGCTCCTTTCCTGCCAACCCACGCCCGCGCTCCTTGATGACCGAAATGACAGGACAACAACCCACCCCGACGCAAGCATTGCAGAGCTGTGTCGGTCTCTGCGCACACTCAGCCTCATGAACCCTCAAAATGACAACCAATCACTCAACTTCACCATCCAAGCCCAAGCCGCGCACGCCACCCACCCACCATGTTCATGGCCGCGAAGCTCCTCTGCAGGTTCTTGAAGTGGATGGTGTCGTGCAGCAGGGCCATCCACAGGGCACGCTGCGCGCTGAGCGCCATCTTGTGCGCGCGCACGCAGGCGCGGTAATTGCTGCGGGCGATTGACGGCACAGGGCCCGGCGGACCGGCCAGAGAAGTCAGGGTAAAGTTACTTTGTGCCCGCAGGTGCGTAAGGAAGCTCCAGCTGCTGGCGTGGTGATCGTCAAAACCTGATTGTGCGTTCAAAGGTGCAGATCCACGGGTTGCCCCGGCAGCCTGAAACAGGGATTTTGTAGAGGATCCCGTTCAGCGCCCCCCCCCCCCAGCCCCCACCCACCGCTGGAACTCAATGTAGCCCATCAGATCCATGCCTCCACTCTCATCTTTTAACTTCTTAGTCACGTCCTGGGTCTGGAGCCGCCCAGTGAGCAGGTGGGGACATTGGGAGGTGTCAGCCAGTGAGTGCACAGGCGGTTGCTTTGCCGCAGGCCAGGCCTCCTGTTTCAAGCTGCTGGCCGTGCCAGCCTGGGCGGGGATGCCAGCTGCTGCAATCAGTTCAAACATGAAAGGGTCACGAGCTGTCCTGCCTTGCATATAGTGACTCTTTCACCACAATTTTGGCGGATGGAAACGGCGGGCAGAGGTCGCAGGGGGCGGCGGCGGCCCTGCCCTCACCGCAAAGATGAAGTAGCGCTGTATGAGGGAGGGCGACGTCTTCACAGCCAGCTGCAGCTGGGTGCGCGCCGCCTGGCCGTCGTGGCGCGCCTGCGGGCCGCGGGGCGGCGCAGAGGGGAAATCCACGTGTTCCAAGCCGTCTCGCGGGTGTGCACGGCCGGCCACAAAGGGCTTGAACCCTGGGGGGTGCCCATTTCGTGCCATACGACCAACTGCCCGTGGATCAACCAGATCTGACAAGGTCTGAGTGTCACTGGGTTTGTCATACACCACGGCCCGCTACCATTTGAGTCCGCCAGCCTTGGGATTAGGGTTTAGGGTTTCTCACCACGATGTGTATGTTGGCGGTGTTGATGAGCAGCGTCGCGTTGTTGGGGAAGCGCGCCATGCCGCACTGCAAGGAGCAAGGGGGTGGGGGAGATCAAGAGATCATCACAGCCAGGCATGGGTCAGGATTCATCGAGTTCTGACGGCCGCCCACTCGCATCTTGAGCCAGCCATGCTCGTCGAGATGTGTCTCGGGTCTTGGCTTAGCATGGGGCCGTGGTCACACACCGGCGGTCGGAGGGTCAGGCGGATGGTTTTCCCCGGCACTGCAGCTGGTTGGCCAAGAACAAGCGGGCGGGCCCGCAATTCCGTTGAACCCATTTCACGTGTCTTCCTGAAATGACTGGTAGTCACCTTGCTAGCAGCGGCGGGCCGAGCGCTCCAGCTGGCAATCCAAGTCCCGCACAACCCGCGCCAGGCCCAGTCGACCCACCTTGACGATGAACTCCCCAAATGCGACAGCGTCCTGGTCAGGCACGCCGTCCTCGTCCCACTTGCGCATCACGCGGCTCAGCATCTCGACCTTTGGGCGGGTGTGGCAAAACGCGCAGGCAGGGCAAGGTGCACAATCATCACGGCCCAGTGAGGCTTGCAGCCGGGCAAGCCAAGGACAAACAGCCTTCTGGCAAGCGGGACTGGCAAAGTAATAAAATCCCAAACCCACACACTCATGCACACACACACACGCACGTGCATCCGCATACGCCAGCCTGGGCTACTCAATCAGACACCTGTGTTTGCAGCCGTCACGCTCAGGCAGCCGGCACCCGATCTTATACCCCCCGCCACACACACACACACACACACACACACACACACACACACACACACACCTGCGCCACGTCCTTGAAGCGGTACACAGCCCGCAGATCTTTGACCGCTGCGCTGTCATCGTACGCCTCCCGCAGGTGCGGCAGCGGCCGCCGCATCCACCACATGCGGAATGCGCTGACCCCCGCGCCGGCGGCGATGACGGGGAAGATGAAGTACAGCACAGACTGCGGGGGTTGGGGCGGAGCGCGTTGAAAACGTATTGGTCATCCGCATCACGGTCTAGAACTACGCGTCAGGACCAGTCCGCGACGCCTGCACAATTTCATCCAGAAGCCGGGCAATCAGCTGGGCTACTGTGCCATCAGCAGGGCGCATCAAACTTATTGCAGCCCGAAACAGCGCGTCGCAGGACCCCGGCAACAGCATGAAATCTGACAAATTACACAGCAAACCACGCCCCCCTGATAAAACATAAGGCACGAGCCAGGGCCGCGCCGGCAGCATCAGACAGGAGCGCAGCTCACCCGGGTGACGGCAATTTTGGCATCGGGGTGGTGGGCTGTGTAGAAGACGCTGAAGACCTGCGCAGCAAATCGTGATGGGTGTGTCCCATAGGGAGGGAGGCAGAGAGGCCAAGCGAGCAATTCTATACGCCATGCTCATGTGCCTGCTCTTGAGGCAGCACGCTTGCTCAGCTCCTCGCGCTTGGTTGGGGTCGCCAGGGTCGCCGCGGCCGACTGCCCAGACGCCCAGGATGCAGCCTGAGCCCGCCGCGCTCGCTTCATGGCATGACTGATAACTACGATCGACAAAACACCCTCGCACGAGTGCGATTACGTACTACATTGACACTCTGTGTTGATGGGTGAGTCACGCAAGCCATCATGACAGGGTTCGGTGTTGGGGTTCGGCTGCTCACCAGAATGTACGTTGTGCAGGTGATCCCAGACAGCAGGCCAACCCAGGCATGCAGCGCCGCATCTCCATAATACGCCGCCTGCAAAGCAAACAGGTGTGGAATCGTTATACCATCCATCAGAGCAGATGTATGGGTCCGCAGCGCCGGGCAGGCGCGCCCCACTTGACGGTAGGCTGCCAGCTGCATGTAACGTGGCGTGCGGCGCGTCTGCTGGAGATCACAGGCCACCATGATGTGCCTCAGG